TTCTGAATGGATCGCATGATCTCCTCTTCGGTCTCTTCTTCAGTGGCCGAGTCGTCCTCGTCTTGAGACACATCTTGCGAGGCGTGCGCTGACTGCGAGTCCTCATCATCGGACTCATGTCTCTGCGAGTGATCTTCATCTGCGTCTTCAGTTTTCGAGTCTTTATTCTTCAGACTTCGGGCTCTCTTGCGTTTCCTTCCGTGATATGCTTTATACCAACGGCGCCGCCGTTTCTTCTTATACGAGTCCATAATTTGAGGCAAATTCTCGTTGACCGGCGGTTCCTCGCGCTCCACAATCGGCATATTTGCATAAAACTCTTCGGGTATTATAAGACCGGGCGGTATAATCAATGGCGTCCATCGCAGACAGTCCTCATCGATGGTAATTCGCGGTCTTTTCACACAATTCGTGAGGTGAGGACCGATGTTCAGCGACAAACTGTTCCGCCGCACAAATAGTCTTAATTTCTATTAAACAAACCAATCATTTAAACATACCTTCCGTTGGCTTTGTGGATGACTTTGCAGTGGTTTAGAGTCGCACTGATGTCGTGGACATTCATTCCCGTTGCCGCAGATATCTCCTCAATCGACGTCTTCGGTCGACCGCTAATGTACTCAAGTATTGTTGACTTCCAGAAGGATTGGTATGAAATTCGGCCCAAATCTGAGAGCGGTTTCTCCGGAGTTCCCGCCAAACCTTCTTTGCGGGACAACAGGTACGAGAACTCAATGAGAAACCTGCCGTAACCGCACCGTTGGTATTGAGGTAATGTCATAATACAGGACACGTTATAGCGTTGGGCGCAGTGCTTCTCTTTGGAGAAATAGCCCACAAAATGACATCCTTTTAAAGCCAACAAATATCACCGATTAGTCAAAGCTCTTGCGATTGACCACAAACTCAAACCTTTGTCATCATTAAGAGTGAGCACATAGAAGAGGAAGGGCTCGACGTCGTAATAGAGGGTCTTGTGATCCAAGAATAACTTCGCCAATAGACACAAGTTTTGACAATAGATTTTAGACACGAGTCCGTCCACTTCAAAGACCGACAGCTCCACCATCTCGTCATCGAATGGCAGTTTATGTTTGGCTCTATAGATCTCAGTGGCCGGCGGTTGGAATAAATCACACTTTTTCTGAATAACAACACATCCATTAGAACCGCAAATTCAAGTCAAAGTCCAAATCGTGACAAACCTTATGTCTCTCGAGAACTGAACTGCTTTTCATGTATTTGAGACAAAACTCGCAAATAAATAATTTCTGAAGTCTCACGTATTCCTGAGGATATGGCGATGAATACCAGGTCTCGATCTCGTATTTCCCAAACTCTATGGCCGCCGGACAACGCATTGCCGGCTGAGCGCCGGGAGATTCATTGGATGTCGACGCCTCTGTCGGGGGCCTGTCTTTGTTGTCCTAATAATCACAAAGCGTTTCAATTAATTCACAAAACTAATGGTAATATAAAACAAATCATACTTTAGTTTCGCATAAAATGTTTGGCTGTCTCTTCAAAGGCGTCAGAATAGTGGTCACAAACTGCTGTTCCGCCTCTTCCTGCGCCTTCTTAAACATCTCTTTGTCGGCTTCGGTGGGGATATTAGAGGGAAGGGTTCTCATTGGGGGTGATATGGCTAATGGCGTCACTTTGGGTAAGACGAGCACTGAAGTCCTGACGGGTCGCGGACTCTTCGTCACCGATTGCTTCTTCTGCGGAAGTGATTGTCGTTTTCTGGCACTCATTCGACTGATCTTTGATACGTTCTGAGTTCTGGATGGAGTGGTCGCCGGCACCACCTTTTTGATCGTAAACTCCGTGATCTTAGTCTGTCTTTTGACAGATCTCTTGGGCGTCGGCTGAATCGGTTCCTCTTTGGACGCTTTCATTGGTTTCATCGGTTCTTCGTTCTAATCAACCGAACAATCAATTGGCAAATGATGGACACGAATGACACGTGAGATCGAGTGCTGTTTATATTACCTGAGAGTCCGAGTCCTGGGAGTCTTCGGGGAGAGTGAAGCTGTTGCGGGATTTGCGGCGATTGGATGGAGTGAAGTACTGCGAGAGGCCGTCCTGTAAGCACTTGAGCTGCGAGTGGTTGGCGTTGTCTTCGTCCGAATCAATCTCCTCTTCGCTCAGCGATAGCTTACGTTTCACTGACTTTGCGGTGCTTTCCGTCGGTTTAGAGGGTTTTGCTCTTCAGATAACACAACAAAACAATTCATTAAAATCTCCGATAAGTGCCAAACGGCTGATGCAATACTTAGTGGTATTAGTGATAGTCTTGTGTTTGATGGCTTCCGCCCGAAGTCTCATCGCAGCCCTCCTTTCCCTCTGTTTTCGTGCCTTTTCTGCGTTTTTCCTCAACTTCTCGGCCTTCAGTTGTGTCGCACTTTTGGCAACCCTTTGACCCTTCAATGGCTTAATAGATGTCAACTCTTCGGCCACAAACCGCTTCTCAGCCTTCGTGTGGACCGAAACAGTGGACACACTGTGCGATGCCTTCTTCGTCGACGTCTTGACCACAGGTTTGGGTTTACAGTCTTCGCAGATGTATTTCGACACTAAATGACAGACAATATGCCATCAATTGATACATTCAGTGCATTGAAGCCATAAATGAATACATTTTGTGTACAAATAGGCAAACATTGATCGATTCACTCATAAACCCATTATTAGTCTAATATTGTTGTCATATTAGATAATAATTGCAATGTTTTTGAGCCAAACGTGTCATCAAAATAGACTTCAAATATGAATAGTTTTGTGAATAAAACTAAAACTAAAACAATGTTTGACTCAAAATAACACACATTTCGTAAACGTTTGGTGTTGTGATGGACTGACACACGAGTCATTCGCATACGATATGACGCTATAAGAGGTCACATTTGGACCACTTTTGTCTCAAAATTATCTCAATTTAGTTTCAATTGTCTTGAAATTAAGACTACTGTAGTCGTATGTGTGGATGACTACTCTCAACCTCCCAGTGCCTGACAACAGTTGTTGTGTTGTTTTTTGTTACAATGACTAAAGCCATAAGAAAACATTACTGTAAGTGCGAGCGAGTGAGTGGTGCAGGTGTTGCTCGCCTACTAGTGCTCTCACGCCTGGCACTCACTGTTGTAGTGTTGGCGCCAATGGAACTATGCGGCACTTGTAGTGCACATACAGTACGGTTGACACTACAGGAGCTCTGACTTATTATAGATTTAAATAAATTTAATTTAAAATAAACTCAAATATAATTAAAATATATGCTATCATGAAAAAGTTTGCAAAAAATAATGTATTCACTCGAATGCTATGGTATTAAATAAAGGGTTCAGATAATGTGGTTTTACGTAATATCGTATGCGTATTGACCCGCAGTTGAAGCTTGCTAAATTTAGGTCAAATTAATTATTTAATAAATTATTTATAAACCTTATATAAAATGCAGAATAACTTAATGGTTGCATAAGTTTAAGTGAAAAACACGAAAATCTTAAGCGATATTCAGATAAAATGAAACCTCATTTGAAAACTAATGACAAAATGATAGAAAGGCAGTGAATGACAGACCCGTGAAATTGTTGGGAAGTTTAATACACTGGGAGTGATAGCCGCGGTCGCAGACGATGCATATGACGAGGTCGATGTCGGGCTCACCACA